TATATTTATTTAAAAAAATATTTTCTAGTTAAATCAATAAGCTCTTTTTTTGTTCTGTTAGATATATTCTATAATTAATAACTAAAATCATTTCAATTAGTTTGTGATATTAGGTTATAATATTTTAATCTCGGATTACCTTGAGATCTTCCGCTGGGCGTATAAGTATTGCTATGTCTCATCCATGAAGTGGTATAGGGACTATTGGGTGTGCCATAGTAGCCCTGAAGATCAGGTGCGGCGTAATTACTGCATGTGTCGCTGAGACTACCATCAGATGGTTTTAATACCCGGGGCGAAAATGACGCGCTCGTTGGTCCAACGCCAGCTCCTCTCTCGCGATGATGGGCAGACGCAAAAAGAGCGGTGAATTCTGGACTGCCGGGTTTTGGCAGGCTTTGTGAGCCCAGCATGAGACGATCTCTAACTGACTGTGAAAGTTGACTAGCGCTGGGACCGGTGAGACTGTAGCTCTTGTAGTGATGACCCTGATTTGATCCCGAGGAATTCGCTTGCAATTCCGTGGTGCATGTTTGTGTACCACCGGATACCTTGACCTGCATCCAAACAAAGAACTTGGACTTAATCAAACTTAATTTCTTCTATGTAACTTAACATAGCATATCTAATTATAAGCTAAACTGAAGAAAGTTATTTAGTTTTCTTAATTAAATCTCAAGTTAGTTTTAAGATATTGATAATAAACTTTGATCGTTGAATCAATTTCTGTATTTAATCAAGTTGCTTTAGTGGTTGTTAAGTATTTGTTCTTGCTAAAATTAAACCTTGAAATAATAATAAGCTTAAAAAAAAGAATCCAAAGATTCTAAGAATCGAGTGAAATATGAATAGAATTTTTTAGAAATTCTTGCATTACCTTAGTCCTTGGTACGGCGCTAACTTGAGCCGTTCTGGTAGCATCTTTGCTGCCATTTTGGACACCATTGGGACTCGAACTAGTGCCCGCACTGTGTCTCTTAACATAGCCAAAGCTTTGTGGTACCCCACGAACTTTGCTACTGTTGCTGGTTGATGTGCCCGACGAAACCTTTTGAGGTTTCTCACCATTCGCATATTCTGCCATAGTCTGTTTCCGATGTTTATCCTGTGTTTAAATTAAATTATACAATTATTATTAATGTCACTAATAAATTTAAATGGATAAATATTATTATATATAAATAGAATAAAAGCTATTTTTAATTTTAATTAAAGACTGTAAATCTACATATATAATATATTACACTACACAACTATTCTATTTCCTTAAATATAATAAAAATCATCATTCAACTATTAGTTACAATAATTATTCAATTCATATTAGTAAATAGAATCGCCAATTTTAGCGATCAATTTACAATGAAAATATATATAGAGAATTTACAGACCAAAGATTCCAATATTTTTTTAGAATATCTCACCTGCGACCTTCTAGAAGGACTAGGGCTGGGTGGTGCGCCCTCCTTGTCTCTCTCTCTTGCGGCACCAGCTTCGATGTACTTCTTCCATTGTTGACTGTTGGAACTGATACTGCTGCTAGAGCCGTTTGAGCTTTGCTGCTGCTGTTGTTGCTGGTGCTGCTGATGCTTAAAAGCCGAGCTCTCGGTCTGCTGAGAGCTGTCGGACTTTTTCACATGCGGATGATGACCACCAGGATGTCCACGTGAACCCACCACGCGGTACACTAGATTGTGACTGTTACTCTGCTGCGCCCCTTGGGGGGTGGCCGATCCTCCGCCACCCCCCACAATCACACCCCCTCCGCCAGGCACTCTCTGTGTATCATAGAAATATTGATGTATGTTAATTATGTATATAAATTATATGTACAAAAAAATTATATGTATAAATTATATATATTTTAATTCAGAATCATATTTTAACGAATTATCTAAATTTTTAATAAAAAAAATTCCATAAGGAAATTATTTTACATACACCCACACGCACTCACGCACGCACGCACGCACGCACGTACACACACATGTCATCTAAAATACATTATAGTAAATTGTTATATGCAATAAGAGATATTAAACAAAATTTACAATATAATACAGCAATTTTGGGATATTTAATTATAAGAAAAATATTCGTCCGGAAATATATTTTTCTTAAAATTAAATATTAAAAATAGTAACTATCTAAAATGAGACCGATATTTAATTATCAGCATTTAGGTCCAATCAAGATAAAAAATTCTCATGAGATAGGTACCAATTTCTAAGCTTGGTCAGAACCCTCATAGCATGATTCAGAACATGGGCGCCATTATGACGCAACGCTCTACGACGATTTTTACCAAAATTCTTACTTACTAAATCGTATATTCTTGCCTTCGTATAAAAATGATATATTAAGACGATATATATAAATATTAAGAAAAAATACAGATGCACTTTTGTATTTTCATGAAAAATGTATATAAATGGAATACAGTATGTAAATTATTAAAAAGTACAAATTCCAGGAATGTAGAAATGTAATAATTTTTCCAATATTATTGATAATTAAAAACTTATAAAGTTTCTTTAGAATTTTGAAAATGTACCTAATTAATAGTCTAAATAATATAAGAATTTCTAGAAAATGCAGAATAAAAAATAAAAAAAATCTTTGGACACATACACCAAAATGTTCATCAAGACGAAACGAGGGTGTGTACCCTTCCCCCATCTTTCTCCATGTGGAATCACGGGTGACTCACAGGGGTAGAAGCAGAAAGGCTCTTTGGGCTTTTAAGGCGAGGATCGTAAACGTACGCATGGTGGAAAGGCCATAAACGTGGGACAAAGAATCCGCGAGTCAAATACATTTTTTCACTCGATTTTTGCAAATAAGCACACACACTGGTTACTCATATTCTATTTATTTTTCAATCGTTTCTCTTTATTTAAAGAAAAGAATTAAAAGTTTTAATTATATACCTACTTTCTTTCAGTAATATCAAATTTTTTTTAGTCAGGAGTTAATTTACGAGACAGGGATTTTAGTTACTTTTCTATTTTTAATATTTTTATTTTCTTTGTCTTTATTTCCTTAATACATTTCTACTTTCTCGCAATATTTATTTTTTCTGTTAATTTTAAAAAATTTATCTCTTTTCTATTTTCTGCCATTTACCTTCATTTTAGATTTGCTTACATATTTCTATTCTTGTTACACTTAACTTTATTTTTCTCTATTTCATTGAATATTCCCTCTTTTTTCTATTTTCTACATTTTCTCATCTATTTTCTAATTATACTTTCCTTCTGCGTTTTACTTCTTTTACTATTTTCGAAACATATTGTATTTTTACCCTTGCATTTTAATTTTTTTTAATTTATCGTTTTTTGTATTGAAAAGCACATACCAGGTATAATCAACCACATCGACAAGAAATAGCAAACATTTGCGTGTCTTTGAGATACGCGAACTGAGCGCGAGAGTCCAAATAAACAGGGCGCGCCTCTTCCGAATAGATAGCTTTTCAAAACTCTTTCACGACACGGCCCAAAGTTTATTTTCCGAAATCGTCGACGTGAAAATATTTCCCATTTTTATGATTGCAAAGCATGCACCATAGAAAGACGATGTGCCTTGAGGCGATCGTGAATGATATCGATTCGTCTCAAGGATAATTCTCGAACAAAAGACGATTTTTCTTTAATGATATTATATTATTAACGAGCAAAATTATATTCTTGTGATATAAGAAATTATAACAAATACAATCGTATGAAGAGCATTCACAAATTATCTCAAATAGTCTAATTATTCTTAATTTAGAAAAAAAACTAATTTCTAATTATAAAATTAATATAGCACAGAAATAAGTGATTAAAAAAATAAGGAATTTTTTGAGATGCTTTAAAAAAAATTAGTGTTATTTCGTCTTTCATTTTATTTCTTGAGTAATTCTATTGTAAATTAGAAGAATTACTTACCATTTTTCCTTCCCTGTAGTGGAAGTTTGCAAATTCTGCTTATATTTCACAAATAAAGATTAGAAGAATAAGAAACATTTTCTCTTCTATTGTAATTTTACTTTATCGTTCATTATTTCGTTGAAGGGCTGTTTTTTTCCCTTTCTTTTTAGAAATTCCTAATTATTATTTTCATTTTAATCAATTTTTAATGGAAAAAGTAAAAATGTTTTATGCGAATTTTATTATAAATTTGGTATAAAAGTATTTTTTTAAAAAGTTCTTCCACACATTAATCTAAATTATATATTAATTAATTATATAATAATTGACTTAATATAAAGTTTAAAGTAAGACTTTACAAGATTTTTTTCTGTTACGTCTTACGCATGTCGAATTAATCTTTTTATTTATTAATTTTTGTATTATTACAATAGAGAGATAGTAACTATTAATTAACATTCTTCGCGAAATTAGTACGTTACAGCTAATTAATCGGCGATTGATGTTATTCTGAGTCTATCTAAACTACAGTCACGAATTAATACATTGATATCGATTATATGTATATGTATACATATAGTAATTAATAGACTCAATGCAAACCCATTACATAATTTTCCCCATGGGAAAATTAGGATTGTTCTTGTCAACGATGACCTTTGATCCGTTTCTACTATAATTTTACATCTCATTACTAGTACTGATATTATATATTAATTATTATATATTAATTAATTTTGCAATATGTTTAAATATTTTATGTCGTCGAAAAATTTTCTACAAATGTATTTTTTAAATAATATTTTGTAAAAATAATCAATTTTAATAAATTTATATTATTTATATGTGAGATCCTAACCAATATTTCATCCGGAAAATATCATTTTTTTTATCAATTTATTAAGTCAAAGTTGAAAATGTCGTTATAACACTTGAGAGATTTTTTTTGTCATATTTATCATCGTCTTGATAACTGTTATATTACGCCTGACATGAATTCGTTAATTAACTTTTTTTACTCGATATTTTTTCCTTTTTTTATCTACAACAGTTCAAGGAGTAAGTTCTTTACTTTATTACTCACATCGCCATTTTCACTTTTTTACAAAGATATACTCAATATTACTCCAATTAAGACAATTTACGTTCACTGCAATTTTCACTCCGGAAAATACAAAGGGTAGTGCTTTATCACCCCAGCGCCTTTGGATTACGGTTCCGAACGTAACGTACGAGGCATCCGAATGTTAACCGCCAACTGCGAGGGTCGACGATCCATAGCTCACTAGCCCTCTCGCCCCCACTTCTCCGGCGCACGGTGTAATATTACTAACGGGAGGTACTTCGCCCTCCCGAATCTGCACCTATTCGCTATGGGGTGCCACAGGAATAACGGTTTCACCCAAGTTACGATAAGAGATTAGGTTGATTTTATATTTAGAGGCTTAAAGCATACATATGCACATTATTTAATACTTATGCAACTAAAAAAGTATTTTTCAGAAATTATATTGAGATTAACAAAAGATTTAATTTTTTCATTAACATTAGAATTAAACATGTAATTTTTTAATTATCCAAAAAAATCCATATTATGTACATACAGATATTATATATCAAGATGTATTTAAATTGTATATACCGGTTCAAATTTCGCAAATTATATTAAATATTTTGATAAATCCTTTATTTCAAAAAAAGAGCTATTTTTTTAAGAATAACATATGTTATAATTAAAATGTTATGTGTGTTAAATTATAGTAAAAATTGAAAGAATTACACTTCACAAAGCATGGTGCTCTGTGAACTAATGTGCTTTAAATCACCGTTTAATCGACTTGATTTACGCCTAAAAGGGGTGGAAAAGAGAAGCATTACCTTGGTCAGCGATAAGAAGATCACGCGAGAGAGTCGGATTCCCTACGCTCCCATTTCCTTATCTCGAAGTGATTCGAAAAGGATTGTTACATTGAGTACCGATAGCTTTCATTCGAAATGGGCCTTATGCGACACTGAGCAAGTCGATAATCTAAGACCAGAGGATTAGAAAAAGGATTATCCAGGGACGAGGAAAAGTATCTCTCGAAAAAAAGTTACCGCCGTTAATCTTTTTACTAGTTTACTATATCATTCGCTACGAGGGAGATAAAAATTAAAAAAGAAATTAACAGAATATTTCGAATAATTATTAATGTATCAAAATATGGGAGACAAATGTAAAAAGTCTTATGTGAGCAACATTAGAAATTAAATAAAATTACATAATATAATACAAAGAAAAGAAATATAAACCATTATATATGTATATTGCAACAATGATTTAATAAAATAAATTAAAATAAAATAATTTATACTTAGAAATTGTCGGCATTATTAAATATAAAAATTGGATATGACAAAATAAGTAATTAAACAAATGCTTGTGCCTGTTCAAAATCTTCAAAATATATAACAGCCCGATTAAATATATTATTTCATAATATATTTATTATTCGTATTTTTACTGTAATTCATATTATAAGTAAAGCTATAAATATTTAATTAACGACTATTGTCGAGCTCAGCGGGCACAATTCAGTCGCGGTAAGTAGCTCACCGAATAAAATTAAGGGAAACTGGGAAGGGACATTATTATTTCGTTATAATAATCATTGTTAAAAGGGACGTTTATATCGATATGACAGACTTCAAAGCTATTAAAATGGCCGATTTACAATCCCACGTAATGCATGGATTAATGGATAACTAATAGATCGGCTTTTAATGGAAGGAAATATTATTATGTCTTGATAAAAGCCTATCTTGGTAAAAGATGCTTATCCTTCGGCTATCTATATAAGGATTAGTTCCAGCTAGTTCCAGATTAGTTTCCAACAAAAGTTCTTTCGTCTGATTTTTTAAAAGAACGTACAGAAACATTTTTTTCGAAAAGATAAATAAACGGAATTATTTATTACTGTGATATAAAGTTATATATTTTTGCGTTACTTTTTTCTGCTTTTAATTAAGGTATGACTTGAACGCAACGTAATTTTCATACAACAATAATCTTGATCGATTAAATTTCCAGTTAAGCCTGAAGTCCCGTAGATATTTTCGTATAATGTTGAAAGCTGCTTTGGTTCAATTTCTTTTTTCGTGAAAAAAGAGAGGCGGAGAGAAACAAAGAAGCAAAAGGGAAAAAGGAGCATTTATTATTTCGCTCGGGAAATATTGATTCTATTCGACGACGACCTGCCGTGACCTGGCTGCATAACTGCTTGCGACGCGTATAACTAATTTCTCTTTCTCTCGCGCGTTCTCTCTCTCTCTCTCTCTCTATCTCTCAAATAATTTCCTATTTGATTTTTCATTTAAATTAATTCAAATCTAAAAATATAAATGGCATTTTAATTTCAAAGAAATTTACACATGTTTCAGATCAAGATAATAAAATTAAAATTGATAGCTTTTTCCCCTAAAAACTATAAGATTATTTTAAATTTTAAATAAATACATTATAATTGATAATAATAATAATAATATGTCAGCTTCCATTTTTGTTTTGTTTTATTGCACACGTGCATATTTGAGAATTTATTTTAATAAAAATATTTCGAAGCGAGAGAGAAAAATATCGCAACTTGGCACACTCGAACGAATCCTTCGGGACAAGGGACCGGAAGTAAAAACAAACAGGCTAACAATAACGACAGACAAGTATCTACGTAAAAAAATTTACAAAAGTTCGTGTCGTCCTATCGTCACAGAAGGATTTGAAAGAATAGTATGTTTTTCCTTATATAAAAAGGAATAAGATACTTTAACTTTTGATCTTTAAAAAAATAAACAAAGAAGAGTCGAATACAACGCAATCAAAACATATCAATAGATTTTAATTTACACGATCACGTCTCATCTGTCGTGTCTGAATATATGTATTAACATACGATTGCACTTTAGATATGATTAGAGATTTCACTTTTAAAAAGGTTCAAAAGGATTTTTATTATTTTAGTTTTAGCACAAAACCAATTTGGATGATTATATTTTCGCATAGCGCTAACTTTTTATAATTCTATTTGTTCATTTTTTCTATTATTAATTTTAGATTGCTAATTCAAAATTATTAAATCAGGCTTTTGTTAAAAAAAAAAGTCGCATACGATAATAATAGAGAGAAACAGAGTAGAAGCTTAAAAATAGCGCTTTGCAATGACCCGCAAATAAAAAAATGGTTCTTTCGATAGTGGGACACCCAGTATGCGACAGCTGCACGGTGCAACAGCTGACGCGCACACATGCTCCATGCTTTGTGACTCGATTGTTCTGTGTAGGCTTGTGAGATCACGCCTGTGCACACATCGCTTCTTGTCCTTCTACACTCATTTGAGCGTTAATTAAAAAGAAATTTGATATCGATCAAGAATATTGTGATAAAAAAATAAACTCTGCTTCAAATAATCCCTAGATATAGAAAATTAATTAATAACTTTGATGAAACTTTAAATAAAAATCTTTTATCTTATCGAGAAATTTTCTCGTTCATCGAAGTGTAAATGCTTTTTTCGGAAAATCTTTTTAAGTCATATTAAGATGTTTTTGTCCTGTGGAAGACGTTACTCGTTTCTCATTACAATGGCAAATTTTTTATCACAATATATGATAAATGATAATTAGATAATTCTGGATAAAACCATCATATGAATATCATTGTATATTATTGATTTCTTTCTAATGATTAATATTTGAAGACACGGTAGTGTCTCGGCGCTAAGACATATACACAAACACATTGGATCTGTCAATTGTCATCCATCAATGATCTTAATAATTATCAAGAATATTCCTGATGACTGTCAGCATCGGTCCATTTAGTCATCTAGTATGCCAATGAGTCAACAATTGCTGGATTATATAATTCTAATAATTCAAAAGAACAAATGCTATTTTTAAAAATATTTTAATAATAATTCCGGTAACTTAAAAAGACGGAAAATTGATAAAAAAGAATATATGAAAAATATAATTCTATAAAAAGATTGCAAATGTTGTTTCAATTTTTGTTTAATAGATTTTTTTTTAATTAATATTCCTCAATAATAAATAAAATAAATAATTGGAAAAATAAAAAAATAAAAAATTTTAAAATTATATAATAAAATTGAATTAAGATAAATAGTATTATATAATATAAAAGACGAGAGAGAGAGAGAGAGAGAG